GACCCTCAGATTGCGAGTCGAGCGCCTTAACCACCTGGCCATGCCGGGCCCATGATACACTGTAGGAGCATATAAATTATACGTGAAAGTACGAATGTAAAAATTAAGAAGTTTTCAAAACTACCGTACTTATATTACTACTGTTACGTACTTTAGTAACTTCAATTAACAAGGTAAAATGACACGTGCAGTATATATGCAAATAGGATAGACAGGGTGCGGGAAGGGGCGCAACAAATCGCATGTTTGGAAAGAGGGATCGCTATAACTAAATATTCGCGCACCTGTCTCATAGCCATACACGTGCGTTGATTAATAATAAGCACATTTTAAAACTTTTGTTAACACAATAGTGAATGGAAAGCTTGGACAATTTGAGCATATTATTTAATATTTCCTTTCTATGCACCACAGTGGCACAGCGGTAAGTCTATGGACTAATAATGCTAAAAAACCGGGTTTCGATACCCGTGGTGGGTGAAGTAAATATGGGGCTCATTGCGCTTAACTACGAACAACTCTAACTACGAGAATCCTTAAAATAACAAATCCTTGCTAGTATCTCCCCCCTCCCATCTCCGGTGGGACAGCTAAAATCCAGGGTTCGATTCCCTGTGGATAGCCCGATGTGGTTTTGTTCTAAGACAAACAAAACTTTTTTTACCCCAACTGTTTAAAAAACTTAGCATTTTTAATATGTAAATTACTATAGAATAATCTAAATCTTTAGTATTTTAAATTATTTTCTGTTATCACTTTTTATTTTTGTATTATTATCTATTTACAGACACTATCACAGTATGGAAGTGTTTGCTCATTTTGACGTCATTGACATGGGAGGCAACAAAGTAGCCGAGGGTCACAAGGCTAGCTTCTGTCTCGAAGACAACTTTTGCAGATCTGGCACCCAGAAGAAATACGCATGCGCAAACTATGGTGATCAGGGTATTACTGTGGGCTGCACGGACAACTACCTGCATAACATCGATTGCCAGTGGGTTGATATCACGGATATTAAACCTGGCAATTATTATTTCAAAGTAAGTTTTTTTTTTATTATTATTATCATTCACCATCTTTGACTTTTGGTTTACCAATCGAAAATAAAATAGACCTCTGGTGGGAGTTATGTATCTCTGTGATTTACAATTTAAAGAATTTAAATTTAGTCCCTGATTTAGTACTGATAGACTAGAGGGAAGGCAGCTAGTCAGCAACTCCCACCGCCAACTCTTGGGCTACTCTTTTACCAACGAATAGTGGGATTGACCGTGACATTATAACGCCCCCTCGGTGGCTGAAAGGACGAGCATGTTCGATGATGGGGATTCGAACCCGCGACCCTCAGATTGCGAGTCGACATTTATAGAGACTTGCTGACTTAATTATGGAGATTAATTATAGGTGAGTGATATAAATAAATAAATAAAAATTGATTTTCTGTGGATCAGCGGTAAGTTTTAGAACTGATAACGCTGAAAATTGGGTTTCGATACCCGCGGTGGGAATATCACAGATAACTCACTGTGTAGCTTTGCGATTAACAACAAACAAACAATAAAAAAATATATATATTCAGTTTCCTCAACTACTTTTTTTTTTCCCGATAGGCATCGCTGTCAGAAATCGGAAAGTGTGAAAAGCATAAACGAAAATGAAAAAAAAGAAAATCATATGTAGCTAGGAGCTTGTAGAATATCCTAAGTTTAAAGGGATTGTTGTTCTTTACCGTAACTTATTTTCCCACCATTTTCTTTTCTAGGTTTCTATTAACCCGGAGTTTAAGGTTCCTGAAATTACCTTTGAAAATAACGCTGTTACCTGTAATCTTCACTACGACATCGTCTCAGCCAAAGTTTGGAACTGCACGTTGGGTCGACCGTGAAATCAGAAGACGAAGAAAGTACATGATATACCAAGTTTAATGTTAAAAAAATAACAACAGCAACATAGCTGTAGATAGTAAAATTAAATCTATTTTTTAGATTATCCTGTTGTCTTTTTACGTTATAATCTTACTAAGATTCTCCTGTCTTACCAATTCAAGTATATTTTGCCACAGGGTTCGAAATTCACGGTTTATTCCTCTTTGTCTATTGAAAGAATCTTTATGTTGTTGTGTTTCTTTAGGTTTTATGAATTTCTTGAATGCCGACTCTATTCTGTTACCTATATATTTTTTCATATACATAAATAATTAAACTTTGCCCTAACATATAACAATGTTTGCTTTGTTTGTTGTAGCACAAAGCTCCACAATTGGCTGTCTGCGTTCTGTCCACCGTGTGGAATCGAACCCCTTGTTGTAAATCCGTAAACTTACTGTTGACCCATCAGGGGACATTAATAATATATTCATCTTAGATATTTCTGCAACCACAGAAGACACAACTTACAGCCTATCAGCAGAAGAGAAAGAAGAATCCAGAACCAAAATATGGCCAGGATTTATGTTAATGAATCACCACAACCAAACAAGGTTGATAAAGGCTACACGTAGATCAAGTCTAACCCAACCGTTAACTTAATAGACAAAACGACAAAATATACTCGCTACACGTAGATCAAGTCTAACCCAACCGTTAACTTAATAGACAAAACGACAAAATATACTCGCTACACGTAGATCAAGTCTAACCCAACCGTTAACTTAATAGACAAAACGACAAAATATACTCGCTACACGTAGATCAAGTCTAACCCAACCGTTAACTTAATAGA